ATGTAAAAATGAGGCCTAAAACCAGAATGTTACACAAAAAGTGACTTATGAAAGTAAAAAAAAAAACACAAYAAAACAATGAATGAATGTAAAAGCGGCGTAACATTCTAGGAATGCATATCACCCGCCACCTTTTATAATGTAATTTTAATTCAACACAGACACATGAGATCACTGAGTGCGTGAATATGTGAAGGACCTGAAGAGATTAAAAAGGCTCTACAAATGCAGATTATACAACATCAAGTCAAACCATTTTGATAAAACAAATGTCTAAAGCTCCTTCAAGTTTAACGTTTGACCAGCTGCTGCCACTGGTTTTCGTTGAGAACAGGAGCAACTAGAAGGAGAAAATATGTTAAAAATGGATTTCCTCTCAGAGCTACAGGGAYGTGTGCTGGCTGAGTGAGTCATGTGGTTGGTATTATCCCATCAGCTGTGATTCACTTCCAGAGGAAATGAGAAGATTTAGGCATCAGAAACCAGAATCGATTCAACTTAAAAACTATCCAGCTCCGTCCTCAGAAACCATCTCTGGCATTACCTAAAACACTGAAGGAATGTTTCTACTCATAAAGAGCAAGCCAGAACACGGTGGATGATGTTCACATAGCAGAGTGATCAAAATGCTCAAACTGATAAGTTTTACTGCCACAAAAAAAAAATGCATATTTCATCAATTAACTAACTCGTACCAAACACACATGAAGGTGACTCCAAACAGTTCAGGCAGTCAAAACAAGCTAAAAGAAAACATGATGATTTACCTTCCAGCCTTACCAAGCTGAACCAAAATTACAGGAGTGTTTGTTTACAGGCTGCAGAGTGTTTCCTCTGCCCTCACCTGCACCTGGGCTTTCACCCGCCACAAAACCAGCACCAYATCCAGCTGCTGTGTCACCACCGTGAAACCACTTCCGGCTTCCTTTCTCTGAAATTATCAGCCGGGCAAAAACCGTGAAAGCATGTGGCAAAGCGGCGTGCTTTTCTACGGTATGTGGGCGTGCTTTTTACTCCCGTCTTTATGAGGTCCAGGTGCCAGAGAGAAATGTACTTTAAGTGTTTCACTGAACACCATAATTACAAGARGAAGCTCTTTGTGTGCAGTTAACTCTGCTGGTTTTCACAACAAAATTACATTCTGAGCAATTCACACCAAATTCTCTGATTATATGCTGGAAATCTACTCAAACATCATTAAAATTCATCCAATAATTCCCAAATTACTTTGCATATGCTACAGGCAATTAAAAAAGTAGCTTAATTTAATATAAAGTAGATCTGCACTTGATTTAATGTATGAATCAATGCAACAAAATAAAAAAAATTAAAGCTGAAAGAWAATACTTGTCCTGACCTGTTAACTTTTAAGCAATTTAAYTGAATAACCCTGTGTTTATGTCTCATAATAAGCTGCTTTAAAGCCAGCATTGACCATAAACTACATCTCCCATAATGCACTTTGATTATTTTACCTGCGAAAAAACACGGCATTGCACCACACAGGAGCACAGAATTCAAAAGCATCGGGCGAAATTAATCGTGCAAAATCACCGGCTACTTTCGATACAGCCCAGTTGTACAGGGAAGTGGGATTTTCCCACTTACAAGTTGAAAATTTAAACTGGAACACCCCTCCAGTGGGAATTCCCAGTCAGAATGTGGGAGAATTCAAACTTCAAGACAGCAGCAACTTATTACAACTCATTAGTGAGTAAAACTCTCTTACTGTTACTTTTAAAGGTATTTCTGYGTTATTTATTTCAGATTTAGTCGCACATGTTTTCAGGGTTTATAAGAGGACGTCCTAAAAGTTTTGAAGCTTTTAAAAACATATGTTTACAGCAGAAGACAATAGTCACAGAATGTGATTCTTTCATCATCTGTGATAAACTCATTTTAAATTTTTGTGACTTTTTTTGTAAATTTTTGTGTCTTTGAATATTTTTTTATTATACWGACTTTGTCTTTGCTAACATGACAATTGGCTTTTATTGACTTTTTATCGCCTATCACTGAAGGCAAAAGGGCAGTAATGTTTTTGTCTGTGTCTGTCTGTATACATGGGTTAATTTCTTTAGTGTTAGCAAAATATCTTAGTTTTAATGAAACCTTCAAGAAGTAATCACTGGCTGTTTCTATGCAACAGATGAGGTTTTGAACTCTTTCAATACAGCTAAATGACACAAATTGCTTTAAATTAATCAATTTTACAAATGTTAAGCTAAAATTAGGTTTGGTGGTAGCTGAGAGTCATTCTAAACACATAGTTTGAGCGTGACATCTTTGCTTAAACTTTAGCATTAACTGTGAGCAAAATATCTTATGAACCACAGGATGATTCTAATGAAACTCACACAAAAGTGGACATGCGTTTAAACCAACTCAACTTAGGCCAACATAAAAATGGCTACAAGTTAGTCAAACTCGCAGGAGCTGAAGTTTGGTGTAGCTGAAAGCCACATGAGTGATAACATTGTTTATGAGGTTTGACCCAAATAACTCTGTCCCTTCTGGTAATAAGATGATAGTTAAAGGCGATATGTATTTGGCCTTAATTTAATCAAATATTTGAGAATAAAACATCCGATCAGACTGCATCTCTCTACCTCAGTCTCTAACAACTCCTGGGAAGAAAAAAAATCTGCTTGTTCCTGAAGACGTTCAGCCATCCTCCCCAGCTGGACCCTCGCTTTATCTTTTWAACTGCACGAGTGGCGTACGGTGCATTTTATCAGCCCGCGTCCTGAAAACAAGGGCTCCTGAGAACGTGGTGCTGCTGAAACATCCAGTAAATAATCTGCGAGGCCACAGCAGCGAACAGCGAGGAAGGACTGGGGGGATTTATTCACCTGATTTCACGTTAAAACTAAAATGCAGATGAAATCGTTGGAGGAGCTCAGAAGTGAAATAGCAGTGAAAGGAGTGTTTATGAGCAGAGGGGATGAAAAGCGAGCGGGGGCGAAGGGGAGGGAGGGTCTGCGTGTGCGGACATGAAGGCCCGGGGGACATTAAGGGAGAAAAACATTAGAGGTGATTCACAGTCACTGCATGGCACATCAACACATACCTCTTTCTCTAAGTCACTCAAAAACCACACCAAACCTCCCGTTCCGTGACACACATACACACACACACACACACACACACATCCTGGCAAAACACACACTTCCCCTGTTCAGAGAGGGTTTAACAGGCTTGTATGGATCAGTCCTCCACTAATCAGAACATGAGAGGGATTCCTAGCATGCAATCAAGGAGCGTGTTATAATTACCAGTTTTTCTTCAAGCTGTTTCATAAATCAAACTCTATTCCTGGTTTTAATCTCTTAGCTGATGAAAAATCTGTTAGATATCACTTTAATATTACCAGAATCAGTCTGCACAGTTCATTCTGGGATCATTTGTTTCCTGTTGTTGCTGTTAAGACTTAAATCCACGCAGCATTTTTTCTGTCGTTGCACTGATAGGATCTATGATGACTACCACCATGCAGCTCCCGTTAACCTGCATGAAGCCTGACACTAACATCCTACAGTAGCGCAGAGTGGCTCAAGGTGCATGAACAGAAACGTCAGGAAACAGATATTAAACACACACTTGATCCCTGAAAGTGGCTCAGAGGAGGTTTAATGCAGGAGGATTTATTACCTTAGATAAACAGTTGAACAGATGAAGGCAGAAAGGAGAAACTAAGGTATTTTGTTACCAAATGTCTGGTTTCTAAAACTATATCAAACTGTTACATGATTTCTGAGTGACCAGTCCTTGCGTTTGAAAGTTTGTTGTGGGATTTTTTTTTTCCAACCTGAAACAGATTTGTGAATCATTCAGGAATAAAAATGACTGTAAACTAAATAAAAAATAAGTGTTGTGTCTAAACCTGTATAACAGTCTGTAACAATAAAAACAGTTTCTCTGCGTTTCTTCAGTAGAAACTATGTGATTGTAAAAGAAGACAGTTTGACAGTTTTTACAGTCTGAATTTTCAGACACTGCTCATCTGGTGAGTCTTATTATTTACTGCTAACAGGACTGAACAAAACAGTCAATGTAGAAATAAAACCGTAAAATATTCTGAAAGCTTGGAAAACTATTGCTCAAGACTTAAAAATCACAAGCACAACTAAGGAGCAAAATGTGTTTAAAAAAAGTTTTAATGACGAGAATATTCTCAATCGTGGATGATGCGACACTGCCCTCTAGTGGTTTAAAAATRTTCTGCTTTTATTTTTCTCAAGTGTGGTGCAGTGATTTTATTTAATGAGACAAACAGAAGTAATAGACATACTATTACATAGTATTTGCATTTTCTGCATCTTATTAAAACTATATTGTTTATTAATACTTATYAATACTATTTTGATGGAATGCATATCAACAATTCAATGTAAWCTAAAAAAAGAAGCAATAAATTAACACAAACAAAACTTTAAGAAAAGTTAGAATTGCAATATATATGTGTATATGTTTGCTGTAAATTATCAGAATTGTAATGAAAATTTTTTTTTTACAATCTTCAGAGTCATGTAAAAAAAAAAAAAAAACAATAACAACGACGTTACGTAGCCGAGGACGCGCTCGAGCGAAACACCACGCGACAGGGACTGACAAGATGGCGATCATTTCAGATTCTGTGGTGTAGCTGAAGGTGAGSCACGCTGAGTTGCTTTTGTAAAACCCTATTTATAATTTGCTTATAACACCACGTTTACCACAAGTCTGTGCCCAACCTGAGGGATAGCGGTAAAGCTGCCCACGACGAAGGGACCCGATGTGTGGCTAACACGTGAACTTGTTGGGATTTGAGTTGCTAGCATACTRGGCTAACATTAGCCGCTAAAGCTCACTAATCTGTTGAATAAACAAAACTAAAAGGACAGACACCGTATGAAAAGAACCTGTTTGTGTGAGCTCTTTAAATTCAGAACAGTTCGCGCAATTATGTTTAAATTGTATGAAGTGAGTGGAAGTGTATTTTAATGATTTTTAGCTCCTGAAATATATTTTTAAGCTTTCGCGTTAGCGGTAGCAGCAGCTAGCTAATGTTAGCTGTTGGGTTATAAATAACGTTTTAAATTGTTTTCGAAACAAACCAAGAGTGTATCGTCCATATGTTGTGTGGAGATAGTTGTGGGTTCGCTTACCTACTGGTTGTGCRTTGTGGCAGATTTACTTAAGAGTTTCTTTAAAGCTGAGTAAAAAGCTTTAGAATAAATCCGGGCAAAGCGCGCTGACTTTCTGCTCGATCTGGACCCACATCAGAAACTTTGGATCACCTATGAGCTGTACACTCATTTTTAAATTAAGCACCTGTGCTCCATCAGTAAAAGCTCTGATAACTAGCACTGGTGGGAAAATCCTAGGGTTTTAGAGGCACAATCTTTGTGTTTCATGTTGTACTTAATATTTATCAGTTAATATCACGGCTCATCGTTATTTCATGACTTTGCAATTAAAATATTTAGATTACTTCCTCAGAAACTGTCTTCAATTCGTGACAGAAGAAGTTTATTATTAGTGCTGTGGCATTAAAATCTAATAAAAAAAAACTAAAGCACCACACGCACTCTAATTAAAATTAATCAAAAATAACAGTTCTGACTTCAGTATTTTAATACTTTGTAGTAATWGTAAATATAAGTGATTGTTTAAGTTAGAAAAACTTCACATATTTTTTTAGTTTCTTGTGATGGAAATTTGTCCGCACAGGGAACGGAAGATGTGGCGTAGAAAATAAAATGATCGTTAACTCTTAACCAGGCAGGATATTCTGAATATTTTACCAGATGGCTGGTTGGAAAAAGTCTAAATAAAGACTCGAGCKAATGTTGTGAATAGTTGCGTTCTCACATGTCAGTGTCTTTGGAACATCTGTAAAACTCTTCATGATTACAGTGCTCCTTAGAAAATCGTAAATCAAGCTCAAGAACTTGTCGATTACTGATTAACTTAAAGCAGCGCCTTATYAAAGTGAGAGTTGCTAAAAGAGGCACACAGTCATGCTCTTGTAAAGTCGCTGTTACGTATTAATAATTTTATTTAGAAGAAAGAAGTTCAATTTTCCTGGTTCACTTTGGTGTTTGTTTACCAATCCCTGCATTTCTTTTAACACAATCTTTTCTCCTTTCCTTTAAGACAACACAGCCATGCCCTGGGAGGGTCCCATTTCTCGGCTCACCATGGTTACCACGGTGATATGAAGCCAGTGTGAAACATCGGCGCATACGCTCAGCCTCTCGCTCTCGCACGCAGTCAGCTGTCGACTGACGCGGCCCGCCCAGCTCGGCCGGCAGGCAGGCAGCCTCGTGTGATGGACAGGTGTAAGCACGTGGGGCGGCTGCGGCTGGCCTCTGACCACTCCATCCTCAACCCCCAGAAATGGCACTGTGTCGACTGCAACACCACCGAGTCTGTTTGGGCCTGTCTGAGCTGTGCGCACGTGGCGTGCGGCCGCTACATTGAGGAGCATGCTCTGCAGCACTTCCAGCAGCAGCGCCACCCGTTGGCCATGGAGGTCAATGAGCTCTATGTTTTTTGTTACTTGTGCGACGACTACGTCCTCAATGACAACGCCACGGGAGACCTCAAGCTGCTGCGCAGTACGCTCAGTGCAATCCAAAGCCAGCGCTACGAGGTCACCACCCGCAGCGGGCGCACCCTCCGCTCTGCGAGCGCCGCGCCGGATGCCCTCACGCTGTGCGGTGCCAGCGAGCTGCAGCTGAGGGACGAGGACCGGATGTTTACTGCCCTTTGGCACCGTCGCAGGGCACTTATAGGACGCATCTTCCGCCTTTGGTTCGGCCTGACTGAATGTGGGAAGAGGAGGGAGGAAGAAGAGAGAAAGCGGGAGGAGGAAGAGGAACACAAAAGGGAGGCCAGGGAGAGAAGGCGTGCTCTGAAGAGGCAGCTACAGGAGGAGCTGGAGAACGCTCCCCTCAGAAAGAGTCGCCGCTTGCGTCGAAAGAGCCAGAGGTCTGCCATTACAGCCGTCGCGACCCCACCCTCTCAAAAGACTCTCAAAAAAACAAAACCTCGTGTGCCCTCATCTCAAACCCGCAAGCCACGGACCAAAAGCTCCGCCAGCATTACTCCCAAGAAGGTCAGGCCAACAAAAAAGGCCCGACCTGCTCCCAAACCCCAGAGACGATCCTCTAACACCAAATCAAAACCCAGAACACCCTCAAGAAGCTCCCGCACTGCCAAAACCCCCGCCCGCCGCAAAACCAGCAACAAACAGAGTGGCTCACCGTTCAAACGGCGTCCTACAGTCACTCCCGGAGTGACCGGCTTAAGGAATTTAGGAAACACCTGCTATATGAACTCCATCCTGCAGGTGCTGAGTCACTTGCATGTTTTTAGGGAGTGTTTTCTGCGTCTGGACCTGGCCCAGGCGCTGGAGCTCCTAGCCTCTGCTGTCCACGGCCAACTGGCAGGAAAGGCCTYGCCGCAGACCCCGCTCCTGTCCCAAAGAAAAGGCCTCCAAACCAGCTCAGGCTCYGGTTCAGGTCTGAGTGGCGGGGCCTCGCGGTCCCGCAGCATGGAGCTGATCCAACCCAAAGAGCCCAGCTCGAAGCACATCTCCCTCTGCCACGAGCTTCACACCCTGTTCCAGGTCATGTGGTCYGGCAAGTGGGCGCTGGTCTCGCCGTTTGCCATGCTCCACTCTGTGTGGCAGTTGATCCCTGCCTTCAGGGGCTACGCGCAGCAGGACGCCCAGGAGTTCCTGTGCGAGCTGCTGGATAAGGTGCAGCACGAGCTGGAGAGCACGGGCAAGAACACGACCTCCACCGGAGTCCAGCAGACGCACAGACGACTCATCAAGCAGGTTCTCAGCGTGGTCAACACCATCTTTCATGGTCAGCTTCTCAGCCAGGTATGAGACACACACACACACACACACACACACACACACACACACACACACACACACACA